CATCTCATTCTCAAAATCCCACAAACATCTTTGGTTACTTCAGCAAACAATACTGCTTCACACATCATCTCTTTATCACAACTGAATTGTATTAGTTATCTATGTATCCCATATCAAATGAATTGAGAAACTATTCCAGCAAAAACTTGGATAATGTACTGGTTAAATAACTGAGATGGATCAGTTTATGGCTGCACATTGCACACGAGTCTATTGTCCAAGTGTTTCATCAGAGGCACTACAGTACTCACCTCAGGCCACTCGTCTGCACCTCTTCACACATAATCAACCATATCATCTTCTCTCATTTTTGGATTTACTGCAAGCATTTCAGACCATCCATTCAGTATGGCAGCTAATAATAGAGCATCAGTGTTGTCAGGTGCTTCAACAAGTAAAAAAAAAACCTAAGAGGAAATGTGTGGTATTGAGTATTTGAGCAAAATATAGATAATGTAAGAAAAGTTGATAATAAGAGTTCCAAATTCTTAAAACATGCACCGAATAAAATATTAAGAAGACAACTACTGTCTTTTCGATATTTACTACATTAAAACTTAACTGTTTGAGTTTTATGCTGAAGCTAATAATATTAAGAGGAACAAACAATGAAAAATGAACTTAAAACAATGTGTGTGTGTATGTGTGGGGAGGATGTAGACTGGAGCTGACAGGTAAAAACAAGTACTTGTACTGTAATAGTCTTAGGCTTAATGCTCATTGAGAAAGCCAAGGTATTCCAAGCTAAAATCATCATTAATGAAAAGTTCTTTTACTGAGGGCTGCTGAAATCTGTCATGGTACATGAATTAAATAAATGTTAATCAATGGGGGAAGAGGTACTTGGCTGATGCAGAGTCTATCACGAATGCTGGCACACACACACACACACCCACCCACCAAAGAGCCAGAGCTCAACCCCCGCAAGCACAACTTGGTGAGTACACACTATCAAATCGATATAGATAAAATAAGTGTTTGGAGCGTAAATGGACAAATGGAATTCAATGTGAATAAATGCCGTGTTATGGAATGTGGAATCGGAGAAAATAGACCACACAACTTACAGTGTGTGGAAAAGAATTACAGTACTCTAATAAAGAACGAGACCTACGGGTGGTTTTGGACACTAAGCTGTTGCCAGAAGAACACACAAAGAACATTGCGAGAGGAGTGTATGCGTTGCTTTCCAACTCCACACTTTCTTTCAATTATATGAATAGTGAAATACTAAAGAAACTGTTCATGACTTTTGTGAGACCAAAGTTGGAATATGCGGTAGTTGTATGGTGCCCAAATCTAAAGAAGCACAAAAAGAAACTGGAAAAGGTGCAGTGGCATGCTAAAAAATGGCTTCCGGGACTGTAAAACAAGAGTTACGAGGAGAGACTACAGAAATTAAACATGCCAAAACTAGAAGAAAAAAGAGGTGATATGATCACCACATACAAAATTCTAACAGGAACTGACCAAATTATTGACAAAGGAATTTCTGAAACCAGCAACATCACAAACATGAGGACACAGATTCAAGCTAAGAAAACAAAGGTGCAAAAAAAATTAGAAAGTTTTCTTTTGCAAACTGAGTAGTAGACAGTTGGAACAAGTTAAGTGAGGTTGTGGAGGAGGCCAAAATTGTCAGTAGTTTCAAAGCATTACACGACAAAGAGTACTGGGAAGACGGGACACCACGAGTGTAGCTCTCATCCTGTAACTACACTTACACAACTACACACACACACACCAAAGAGCCAGAGCTCAACCTCTGCAAGCACAAATAGGCAAGTACACACCTTGGGGCCTCGCGGCTGAGTGGACAGCGCTTGGGTGTTATAGTCTGAATGGCTAGGTTCAATTTCTGGCGGACACACACACACACACACACACACACACGTGTTTGTCTGGAGACAAACGATATAATATCAGACCGTCAGTATGGTTTTCGATCTGGAAGATCCTGTGTAACGAATTTACTCAGTTTCTATGATCGAGCCACAGAGATTTTTACAGGAAAGAGATTGTTGGGTTGACTGCATCTATCTGGACCTAAAAAAGGCTTTCGACAGAGTTCCACATAAGAGGTTGTTCTGGAAACTGAAATATGTAGGGATGGGGTGACAGGTAAGCTTCCAACATGGATGAAAAATTTTGATAGAAAAATGAGGGCAGTAATCAGAGAAAATGTATCAGACTGGAGAAATGTCACAAGTGGAGTACCGCAGGGTTCAGTTCTTGCACTGGTAATGTTCATTGTCTACATAAACGATCTACCAGATGGAATACAGAATTACATGAACATGTTTGCTGATGATGCTAAGATAATAGGGGAGATAAGTAAATTAAATGGTTGTCATGCCCTTCAAGAAGACCTGGACAAAATAAGTATATGGAGCATCACTTGGGCAAATGGAATTTAATGTAAATAAATGCCAGGTTATGGAATGTGGAACAGGAGAATATAGACCCCACACAACCTATAAATTATGTGAGAAATCTTTAAAGAATTCTGATAAAGAAAGAGATCTAGGGGTGGTTCCAGATAGAAAACTATCACCAGAGGATCCCAAAGAACATTGTGTGAGGGGCCTATGCTACACTTTCAAGTTTGAGAATTGCTTTTAAATAAATGGATGGCTTAATACTAAAGAAATTGTTAACGACTTTTGTGAGATCACAGCTAAAATATGCAGTGGTTGTGTGGTGCCCATATCTTAAGAAGCACATCAACAAACTGGAAAAGGTGCAAAGACATGCTACTAAGTGGATCCCAGAACTGAAGGACAAGAGCTACGAGGAGAGGTTAGAGGCATTAAATATGCCAAAACTAGTAGACAGAATAAAGAGGCAATATGATCACTATATACAAAATAGAAACAGGAATTTATAAAATTGATACAGAAGATTTCCCGAGACCTGGAACTCCAAGAACTCAACGCCATAGATTTACACTAACTAAACAAAGATGCCAAAGAAATATAAGAAAAATCACTTTCACAAACAGAGTGGTAGACAGTTGGAACAAGTTAGGCGAGTAGTGGAGGCCAAAACCATCAGTAATTTCATAGCGTTACATGACAAAGAGTGCTGGGAAGACGGGACACCATGAGCGTAGCTCTCATCCTGTAACTACACTTAAGTAATTACTAAGTACAGTAATTACACAGTGATACCTTGGTTTTCAAATTTAATCCTTCCCAGAGATGGGTTGTAAGCCGAAAATTCGCAACCCGAAACAAATTTTCCCGTAAGAAATAATGTAAATTGAATTAATTCATTCCACACTCCCAAAAATATTTACTTCAAAATACATTTCAGACATAATATGAGTACACACAAATATTTTGTACTATAGTATGCACAAGTTATAGCTTACCTTTATTAATGACTCTTGCTGGCGTATAGAAGACGGTGAGGAGGGGGGAGGAGGAGACGTGTTGGTGTTTGGAAGGGGCGTCCCCTTTCATTATAACAGGCAGTGATGACTTCTCTGGGGTACACACACTGTCCTATGTTTTGCAGGCATACTACTGGGACCTGGTTGTGGCTCACTGCTTGCCTGTCTTACTAAAAATCTGTCTTAAAACACTTCTTTTTCTCTACATTTTGGGAATGTAGGGAAGGTTTTAACTAAATTTTTTTTTAGGACCTTTTTAATGACATCACATTGTCATTTAAAAGGTCAATGCAATGGCCTGCTACAACTTTATCTGGGCGAGTTTTTTCAGCAAAACTTTGCAGTTCTTCCCATACTTCACACATTCATACTTCAGCATTCAACTCGGAGGTAAGAGATATGAGGTGACCAAGACAAACGAGTGTCAAAGATTAGCCCCAAAAGCTTAGTAGAATCTTTGTACAAAAGAGGATGACCTTTTTTGATTAAGTGACAGAGGGGGACGAAGAACGACCTGCTTCCGAGTAAAAGTTATTGCTCAAGTTTTATTTATAGAGAACTTGAAGTCATAATTGGTGGCCCAAGAAGACACAGCATCAATTGCAAGTTGAAGCCGCCGTTGAAAGAAAGGCGAATCATCATAACAGCAGAGGATAAGATCGTCGACACAGAGAGCTAAGGAGATGCCAGAGGGAAGAGAGGAAAAACCATTGAGGGCAACCAGAAAAAGAATAGTGCTCAAACACTACCTTGGGGTACACCTTTGTATTGCCGAAAAGAGGCAGAGAGAGAGAGAGCTTCCTCACTCTAAAGGAACGACTAGAGAGGAAGCTTTGCAGGAAGAGAGGGAGATTACCATGTAGCCCAAAAGAACGGCATTGGGACAGAATATGATACAGTATCTCTAGGTGGTGTCGGATGCCTTTTCCAGGTCATAAAGGACTGCAACAACAGAGGTCTTTGCAACAAAAGGAGTTTGAATATAGTTCACCAAGTTCACCAAGACATCACTCATGCTGCGGTACTTGCGAAACCCAAATCAAGAGCTTAGAAGCAAAATTTGCTGCATTTTGTGCATATGTAGTGTTTGTTAAAGTGTATGTTTTTATTTTACAATAGTTATTACACATCAAATATTATAGATTGTAAAGCAAATGCATCACCCCTAATTCTAAACTTTCAATAACTAATTTTTATTAATAGTGTTTCCAAAAAATTATAATACCAAATTACATACCATACTGACAAATGTTTAGTTTTTTTGTTTTAACAAATTATCCATTGCAGTACGGTCTTACACCAAGAAATTGCAATTCTTTATAAAGAAGCTTATATGAGTTTGAGTCATATATAGACAGTTATCATCATCATTCACACGATACGTATTGTAAAAATAAAAATCATGTTGAAAAGCTTTAAAGCTTAGTGTAGTCTGGAGCGGCATCCATAATACACCCAAGAGCTACCCACCTTTCTCCAGGGTTAAGGAATGTCTGGGACAAAATTTGGCTCTCGACAGAAGACGATCTCTTCAATTTAGATGAAGATGGTGAAATAATTTTGTAGATTTCCTAACTAGAGAGTGAGTTAGTGGAAAAAATCCAAGTGGAAATCTCTGCCTATTTTATTCAATATCCCTTCACAACTACAGTATTTTGTTTTGGGCATTTACATATATTATCCTTTGTTCAAACTTCATTGAATTTGTGATCTGAGCATGCAATGTCTGAAATTTCTTACATTCCTTATTTCATAAATGTTCATGAAGATCAAATCTAGGGTATTTTCATCCCTAGCTGACTCCATTATTTGCTGCTCGAGCACAAATTCCTCACAAATTTTAACAGTATCTCAGAATTGTGTTAGTTATTTCTGGTTTAGTTCCCTGATGCAATGTTTTTGACTATGATCATCCAAATTTAACTGGGTACATATTAATCTCCAAGAAAGATAACATCCAGCACAGAATATCTAGATTTTCTAGACTATTTTCTATTTTATTCAACTGTGCTGTGAATTCAACTGTTGTATCTAAATGCTTGTACAGTATACTAAAGTAATAAGATCTTTGTTCTCTACACTGTGTATTTTAAGCACATTTGTGGAATTATAAGTTTTCTATGAACATAAGATCCCTTTCAGTACACAGTATAGACCTACTCCTATGTTTGATTCATTTACTCAATCATATCCATATAAATATTTTGGTATCTGAACTTCACTGTCCATATAATCTCTAATTAGAGCTTCTATGACTCCTCTAAACATTGCATCCAACTCTTTTAGGAGGCCATTTAAATGATGACTTTCTCGTCGTTGATATCATCCACTGTGTTACGCCATTCATGACAGGTTCTGATCGAGTTTGTACATCATGGGATACCTCCTTCCCCCCCCCCCTCAAAAAAAAAAAAACTGGTTCACACACATTTCAAGTAATTTAGTGCAATGCTTGGTTGCAACATTCTGGTATTTAATTAACATTTAACAGTTACAATGGCCATATCATCATCCTATAATGCAGAGCACATACTACGAAGTACTGATTATGAGTAACTACTTTCCCCTGAAGGTTCATAATGACCAGAGGAAAATATTTTGTCGTCATTCAAATAATACCTGGATTACCTAAAGGCTTTCTGGGTAATTACCTCCGTTAGAGGTTCAAATAGTAATTTGCATCAGAGATAAATGCAAAAATATTCAATATATCAAAAATTAACTTTGTGATTTGAAATAAAAATACTGTACAGTGCAACCTCACTTGTACGAATTTCTGTGGAATGAATCAAAGGTATGTTGGTCCAGTCCTCAACCCTGCCACAGCGAGTGCTGTTTGTCACAAAGAAGGTTGTGTTTACCCGAGCACAAGCTCTCAAAGTCAGCAACTATCAACCACCTGCTCATTTCTAATAAACAATATATATTTTCTAAGTCCCCTCATTAGTAAGTCCCCTATTTATTATTTGACTGTGACAATGAGGGAGTAGATTCCTTATCCTGCCACCAACTCCATTATATATTACTCATAATTTGTTTGTGTTTTTTAGTTTCCTGCATTAATAAACTATTTACCCAATGGGAACAATGTCAAAGTATAATGATAATTCAACATTATCAACACTGAATTGCCATCAATTCAATGTTGAATTAACATTACTATACTCTTGGATATTTTACTCACTGGTATTGTCTCTTCGTTTACAATCAAATTCATCATATATGGCTGCTGATTGAAGGCGAGGTATGGAACACCAACCAGCCAAAATCCTTTCCTACAATAACTTCAGATACACACTTAGTACTGTATGCTGTAATGACTGCAGACTCGCTGCAAGTAGCGGTCCCTTGCTGGGACCCTAGCCCACAAAAAACATAATAATGTTTGCTCTGTTTTCTACATCAACAATAAATATTCCATGGCAGTAGAATTTATTGGTATCAGATACCAATAATTGCACCCTATATGGAAGCAAAGCTATTTTTGTTTTTTGAATCGAGGAATTATGTTTCATCCTATTGCCATCTTTAATATCATTCAAATTTGAATACAATAATGCAGCAGTATATTGTATACTAAATTAAGATCATTAAGTATATTTAGCTAATTCATTCATTCATTTCCTCCTTCTATCATATTTCTTTTTAAATAACTAAAAATATTAATTATCAAGAACTGTAGTGATGACAATTAAAATAAAAATTGTTTATATTATTAAAACAACTTCAATAATATGATAAATTATTTTCTTTACATAAAAGGTGATTAGATTATAAATTAACACAGATGTCTAATCTTGAGGCTGGAGGCATAGAATCTCACACTCCAAGATGTGATCTCTATAGCAGTGAGATGATAGTGCTTCTATTATAAATGATAAGCAGCATATCGTAAGGGCTTAACAGTAAAATCTAATCTTAAGGTTTTGTAAACATACATTAGAAAATATATGTGAATGCTTCTCTTAGCTAAGATAATTGAGGCTGCAAGATACTTATATGGTGACAACAGTCCAGTTGACTAGGACTTAAGGTAACATTTTTTCATTAGAAAGTGTTGCTAGCCAAACCAAATGTCTTACTAGCATCAATATATTACAGAGAGTAAGTCACAATAACTTTGCTGAAAATTAGTAACCCAACCCACAAACTTAAAAACAAAGGAACCAAAAGTTTCGGTCCACTGTTGTCCAGTATCACGTCCAGGGCTTTTATCAAGGGTCCAGGATGGAGCAAAACATCCCTTTCCTTTCTTTTTATGTGTGGGGGGTTGGGTCACTGTCAATATATATTATCTTGATTTGTGTTTATAAAAAAGAAAGAATTATGTGCATGCAAACATAACACTATTGTTGACCTCAGGGTGACATTCTATTGCTTGTAACATACACCAAGTTCTTTCACACCGCACATCATGTGGTGATAAAACTTGCTCCATCCTCTATTCTACCAAGTAATAACTTGGAGTTAACAACCTACCCTTATGACATATTTAAATGTATAATATTGTACACAATGTACAGTGTTGTTTATATTGAACCCAAATCTAACAAAACCGTACTTGCACTAAATGTGCAAGGCAGAATTATTAGAGTACCTGAGTAGGCTTCAAATATACAACTCTGTACTTATAAAATATATCACATTATACATACTTTGTAATTTTAATATGTTGTGAGGTTGGAATTAAAGGACATTTTTGATAATTTCAAGGACCCTCCAATCCCTGAGAAGATTTGGGAAATTATTGTAATATGAAACAAATGGCCAGTGAAAAGAAATATGCAATGAAGCCTAAATTTGTTCTCTAAAAATGAGAGTAAGAGTTATACAATAGGAAGTACTATTATTATTTATACAATGGCAACTTGTGTGAATGATGACTTGAGCATACATTTAGTCAAAATAAAAATTTTGTCATCCTACAGTGAATAATGTATCAACCTTCTGGGAGACTAGTATCCATGGCCATTGATAAATATTGCAAATTTAATTACAGTATAATAATACCAGTACCTGACAACTTTGAAAATATAGGATTGCAGTGTGGTGTTATCAACAAAATATAACATATAAATATGCAAGACTAGTGTTTTCATGAATATGTAATTGTGTATAATTACCATAAGTGTACAGTATTACATATAAGAGAGTGAGTTAGTGTGTGAGAATGAGTGAGTTGTTTGTTTTGTGTGTGTGTGTGTGCACGCGTGCATGCATGTGTGCGCACACGAGTGCGTGCGTGTTTATACTGTAAACATAGCCGTGTTAAGGAGTCTCAGGGTTCATCCCCGCTCTCCCAACTCTACAGCTTTAACTGCTACTTGTTGATCTGTTTATAGTACTTAATATTACTGGTCCTCAAATTAGCCAGCTCCCTTGGCCAAGGTACAGTACTGTATAATATTTCTGCAACCCCTGCGCCCCCTCCCCCCCTTTCCTAGCTTTTGGACTTTTGTATATTTCTATTTACCATTCCAAGCACCAGTTTATCAGTCTCATTATGACACTAATATTATAAAGTTCACCATGTTCGGTTACTCGTAATCCTGATTGCTGAATCATCTTACAAGATATGCAAGCAACGTACCAGAAATAGGTAATTAATTCTCAAATCATGTGTGTGCAAAACTCATATAAAATGAGGCAAACATGGCAAAAGTACAAAAAAAATCATAATTAAGAAAATAAAGATGAAGGGGAGAGGAGAAGTTACACACAATACAAAATTCTTAAAAGAATTTTTGTTACTGCATTTCTAATCCAGGCCACAGGAATATTAATTTAACATTAATCAATCCCAGAAATAATAATATGACTACAGTGGATGGGGGACCTAACGTGCACTACTGTAACTAAATAAGGATTATTCCAAACCTCCTCAGTCTGACTGTTTATTGCTCCCCCCTCATGAAACACAAATTAGGATTGATGGTGCTTTGGCACTGCACTGAGTTGATGTACAACCATGAATTTACATAATATGAGATTTTAATCATAAAACTTACAATGGGTCAAAGATGTCTATGTCAAAGGTTGCTATATCTACATTCTTTATCAAGGAATATAGAGTTTGCTATAACCTATGTACAACCATCTTTTTGACATGAAATAATAAATGTACGACTACATTTGCACATACACAACATACTGAAATATTCGTGATGTGATGTATCTGAATATGTGATGTCTAACATAGACAAAAACACATTTAAAGACCTAGAATAAATAGGTCTTGTGAAAAATGTCAAGTGTCAATGGTCAAAACTTTCTCTAATATCGGCAAATATTTTGGTAAGACTATCAAGACCAAGCATTATACCATCATCAGGACCATTGTAAACTTTGGAGTCACCCATACCTTTGTGAGTCGCATGGGCAAAATCTATGAGACGTATGTCGATATGAGGTTTGTAGTTCCTATTTCTGTGTCTGCCTTTTGCTTTATATGGAGGCTCACCTTCATTCCTACTTATCTGCTCTCTGGGGGCCTTCCCTCCACCTGTAGTTGGCGAATCACGCATATATGCAGGATGTTTAGCCCCTAGACTTGGTGGGCAAGATTCTTTTGATGGCCAATTATCTCTGGGCGAGTTTCCATCGTCTGCTCGAGACTCTGGCCACTTCTTGACTCGATTGGTGTCCATATCTTTGCTTTCTCTTTCTCTCTCGCACTCTCGCTCCCGTTGATGCAGTTTCACATTGTATGGGTCATAACCATCATAAATAATTAATAAAGATGAGGTAAAGAATCGAACTGAGTCTAGTTTAGATATAATGGCTCTTAATTCTTCTAACTTGCTAATTATTGATTCGGCTATATCAAGTCGAAGTCTGTGACCATTATGAAGAAACTGCCATAAAGTCTCTTTAAAACCTTCTTCAGAAAGTTTCTGACCATAATATTTATTCCTGCAATGATAGCACTTCTTGTCCTTGTTGTAAACCTGCAAGTAAAGTCATTATTAGCACTTATTTAATTAAATACAGTACTATATCATATACAGTACACATATATATATATATATATATATATATATATATATATAATCTTGAAATATTCAGAGCTGACTGGTAAACTCTGAGCAGCAGCTATAAAGTATTTATTGGAACAATGTAAATTATCTTTATTATATTAAAGATTCTAACAGTACCCCCCACACATTAAAGTCCAAAAGCTTTTCAATACTTTCTTTTAATTAAGTTAAAATGATGGGGAGTTTTGAGCTAGAACAAAGCATCAGACACAGAATAATAATAAATGCTATACATTTATATATAGTACTGTATAATATTCAGTTAAATTATTATGACTAGGGTACATATAAACCAATAAGTAGTATAAATATGACTGACAGAATTAAGACGCGCAATTAAAGTGAAAAATATTAATGTGGAACAAACAGCAAGTTAAAATTAGTGTCCGCTTGTTTTAATGGAAAAATGTCTACTGGACCCCTTCAGCAGCACAACTTCCCTGTGCCCATCACTCCAATTTCTGCTATTTTATACCATGCACTATTATATTTAAAAGCTGTATCTGTGCAAACCATAAAACTGCACATTTTTATACCAAAATCACTTGAGGAAAAAACTAATTTTTAGATATTTTTGTGATTTTTGTAATTTTGGCATCGAATTCCAGTCCAGTACACCATCAGACATTACTATTTTCCATTGTAACTAACCATTGTGATCTTAGTACCAGAAAGGAATACAGTACAATACTGTACTTACTTTGCATCCATATTTTTGGAAGACCGACTTTCATTTGAGTTAGTCCACGATATGAATAAAATCTACTAAATAGGGATATTCAATGACAGAACTTGCTTAAAAGTTATCATATTAAGAAATAAAAATATAAAACAAAATATACATATCTACTTCAATGTTTCAAGCAATTTGTGCATTCTGTAATTAAGTAATTATACCTTTTCATTACTGTATATTAGTTGTTTACACGATTTATGAAATGAAGACTTTTTCTCCTATTCATTTAGAAATTTTCTTTTGCCCATTAAAAAAATTAATTGCTATTATACCCAATTTTTCAATGGTACATTAATTTGAATAGCTCAGTATTACATTTATTTATATATATGCTTCATGACTGGTAATAATAATACTTTATCACGAATATTAAAACATATCGTGCTAAATCTCCAGATTATTTATTAATCCGACCAATTCCTTATTTACATCCCGTGTATTTTTTATTTCTCTGCAATTAAATGCTGGTTTGTACTGGAATGGAAACATTCGGGTAAATGATCATGTATTTAATACCTGCATGCCTGCTAATCTGACTCCTAATGTTATTGTTGTTGTGTTGGCAGCCTTGGCAGTTTGACTCTTGCGTTTACTTTCCGGGGCATCATCCCCGTATTGTCTGGTTCCCATCTTCAGGTCTAATACACAAGGATACCGGAATTTGAAGGTCAGGTTTTCCAACATTATACATTCTGCAAAGGAAAGTTTACATTAGTTTTAAATTTTACCATAAAAAATCCACCATTGAATAAAATGAAACCTCTTTCTGGGAAAAGAGGGGGAGGGCCTAAGTGGCTCCCTGTTGCTAGTCACTCGGAGATAGCTTCACACTATTAAGTCACATCAGACCTTGAGAGTCGATATATTGATACCTGGTTGATACCTCATTGATGGGGTTCTGGGAGTTCTACTCCCCAAGCCCGGCCCGAGGCCAGGCTTGCCTTGTGAGAGTCTGGTCCACTAGGCTGTTGCTTGGAGCAGCCCGCAGGCCCACATACCCACCACAGCCCGGTTGGTCCGGCACTCCTAGGAGGAAACAATCTAGTTTCCTCTTGAAGATGTCCACGGTTGTTCCAGCAATATTTCTTATGCTTGCTGGGAGGGAGTTGAACAATCGTGGACCTCTGATGTTTATACAGTGTTCTCTGATTGTGCCTATGGCACCCCTGCTCTTTACTGGTTCTATTCTGCATTTTCTTCCATATTGTTCACTCCAGTACATTATTTTACTGTGTAGATTTGGTACTTGGCCCTCCAGTATCTTCCACGTGAATATTATTTAGCATCTCTCTCGTCTTCTTTCTAGTGAGTACATTTGGAGGGCTTTGAGACGATCCCAATAATTTAGGTGCTTTATTGCATCTATGTATGCCGTATATGTTCTCTGTATTCCCGCTATTTCAAGAATCTCTCCTGCTCTGAAGGGGGAAGTGAGTACTGAGCAGTACTCAAGATAGGACAACACAAGTGACTTGAAGAGTACAACCATTGTGATGAGATCCCTGAATTTGAAAATTCTCGTAATCCATCCGATCATTTTTCTGGCAGACGCAATATTTGCTTGGTTATGCTCCCTAAACGTTAGGTCGTCTGACATCATATTCCCAAATCCTTTACATGCTGTTTTCCTACTATGGGCACATTTGATTGTATTTCGTACCCTGTATTATGTTTAAGGTCCTCATTTTTACCGTACCTGAGCACCTGGAATGTACATGGAATATTGTAACATGCTTGTAAATAATCAATAAATCTACAACAGTTATACTGTTGTGGGTTTGTTGTGTCACACTTAGGTAAAAACAAGCCTCATGTACATCATCATTATACATGTACAACCTCATTAGAACCTGTAAATGGTTCTAACTTTTACAATAGTTTGCTAACTGCAAAACAAAGAAAGCGGAAGGGAACTACAAGGAGAAGGTGCCAAGCCATTATGACTGTAGCACTTTAAAGGGATCAGGATAAGGATTTGGGATGGGACATGGGAAGGGGGAGGAGGAATAGTCCCCAACCACTTGGACGGACGGGAATTGAACGACAACCTGTACAAAGCAAGACTGTCACTACTGTCCTGCCCAAGTGCTTAGGCAACTGAAAGAAAAGTTGGTCTCTCTAGTTATTATGCAAAACAAAAATGCCTTTTTTCTTTTTAACTTTTTTTAAATGAAAATCCCTGAACTCAAAGTACTGTATTACATAAACACTAAATTTATCAAATACTCCTACAAAATAAAGCATTCAATTTAATGCAGTTTGTTTCCAGTGATGAACTAAGACTAAATAATGAAACTTATAAATTCAGAAAAAAATATATTTTAAACATAACAATTTAGCTTAATATTTTACAAACATTTTGACCGTGGAAACAAGTCCGAGGTCAAATGAGAGACGACAAAGCCAATGTGTGAAGAAACAAATAAGGAATAACAAACAACTCCCATAATATTTTGAAATGTTTTGGCATCCTTGATTTATGGCGGAAAATACTGGAAATTATTCATAAAAAACTTGAATTACAAATAACTCAACCTACATATATGAAGTTAAATAAAAGTGACAATGTTTCAATCCGTCCTGAATCCTTCTCAAGTCGTGATCAAGTGTCCAGGCCAAATTAAAACGCTGACACTTTTATTCCACACGTGTGGGTTGGATTATTTGTTTCAGCCACGCAATTGTGACTTAATTATCTGCATAAATTACAAGTTAATGCACAACATATGCCATGTACAGCCCACTTCAGAAAAAAAAGCTGATAGGAGTTTTGCAGCGTAATGGTGGCAATCCTACCTGAAGAATGAACAGCGGTGCCCTGTTAACTTAGTCATGTTCATCTTACAATACTTATAGCTTGCCCTCTCCTTATAGGAAATAATATTTTTCATATCGAAGCATTACTTACTCACTAAAACATCTGAAAATGAAAATGAATTAAAAAGAAGATTGAAAACACCAAATGCAGATGACCAGATTTTATAACTGAAAATATTTTTGAAATGAACTGAAATTTTTTCATTACTCCTACTTTATTATAAATCATCTTAAAGTCTTAACAAAATACCATCACAAAACTTCTCAACAAACCACATATTACCAAATGTGTGGTTTGTTGAGTCTAACTCACCAACAACATTTGATGGATCAGACTTCTGCTTCAGCTTGTGAAGCGTTGTCTGGTGGCACTGCTGGAGCCAGGGGTTGTGAGTCTCTGGATGTGAGAGAGAGAGGGTCTCATTCCTTGAGGGTGTTGTGGTGGAGGGACTGGAGGCTCGGTGAGGGCTCGAGAGGGGTTCTTCCTCCTCTCCTTCACTCTCCAACTCCACACTACTTGAACTTACTCGACGTACATACCTGCTAATTAGGAAAAAAATTAATCTCTAATTGTTTTTATGGTTAATCAATCAGCTTGCATATGAATATAGTACGTATTTCCAAAAGTTGCAGAAATAAGTAACTGAATAAGCATTAAATAAAATTATATATTATATATACTATACCTGGTGTACAGTGAATGAGTGAGTGTGAGAATGAGTGAGAGAGTGAAAGAGTGAGTGTGTGTGTGTGTGTACCACAGGTAGCCTTCAATTTTCCTGGTATTGGAGAACCAAGATTCAGTGATATGAAGATAAGCACTTTTGTATCAATTTTCAAAATGATGAAGTGAGTTTACATGTTACACAAGATTACCAGAGATTCGTGAGGCCTAATTCATAAGTCTACCACACAATGTTCCGACTTCTACACATCCCACATTTCTTACTTTCTCAACTCCCAATCAGGGATCCCGGGTTTGATCTCCAGACAGGACATAAATGGTTAGGTATTTCCTTTCCCCTGATGCCCGTGTTCACCTAACAGCTAATAGGTACCCAGTAGTTAGGCTGCTGTTGTGGGTTGCATCCTTGGAAAAGTCAGTATTTCAAAGTAGGGAGGACCTCACTACAAGCCCCAAGTACAAGCTTCCTGTTCCAGACAATAGCTGTTAATTATTATGGCACATCCCACGCATCCCATGGAGGTCTTTTGAGTGAATCTCGAATTTTACAGGAATTGGCCCCCATGCAAATCATGGGGTGCCGGAATATATTAACAGCACATGCAATTTTATATTTTGGGTCACTAAATGAAATCTGCTACCGAACATATAAAAAATGACTGAATAAATATCATTGTAAACGGGTCACCGTATTTATGTAAGTACTGTATGGACATATGTATGTTGTGTATGCCTTGCCTAGTAAGTTGAGCTCCTAACTAACCAAATCTTTTTTCAATTCAGGTTTTTTAAAGATTTAAACTTAGGGATTACTAGATAAGCTATCTAGTTAATATAAGCTAATAAAGACAAGTTTTTTTAAATTAGATCAAAACTCATTTTGTAATCTGGCTTAACCAGAACATGCCTAATCAATAACATTTGTTAAAATAGATATAACCAAGCCTAATTAATTTAGTAATCAATATTATGTTAATTTGGTAGACGTAACCAACATGTATAAAATTAGTCAGGCTGTTATGCAAAATGGTTCTAGTGTAGTGAACCTAGTAATGCAGTTCTAGCAATTACATATGACTTCTTGACTTGTACTTATATTGTATGTATTATACAAATGACTGTACTGTATAATGAATTAATAAGAGCAAAGTTACCTTTGATAAAATACACTTTAGAAATCACCTAGACAGTATTGCATAGCAACATATGAAATTGTTTAAACAAAAGAAATGTATTAACAGAAGTATTGCTAGGAAAAACATTCTTACAGGAAGAGCAATTTTATAGAGAAAAAATAATAATAATAATAATACAGTAATAATAATCACAAACATCAAAATGATTACTTTATAATACATGACATCCAAATACAAGAAAATAATGAAAACCTAAAGGACTCTTTTCAGTGTTCCATATTTCTGAAACTCAACAGCATACCTGCTAAACACACAACGAAACTACGAATTGCTACAACGTTCAAATACGTTTTAACACCTAACAAGTTGTAACAACCAATATAGACAGCAAGTTGTAACAATGTTATGTCATAAAAATGTTATAACAAGATGTAACAACTTTACTACAAGTTGTATCAAGCTGAAAATAGGGACAGTTACGTTGCGTGTTTGCAGGGTAGAGATTAAATTCTATCTTTATATAGTTTGTATTGTGTTCTACATCATTACACCAACACAAAACTATCTCCCCCCCCCCACCAATATTCAGCTATCACATACGAAACTGTTAAGTAATGTCTTATTCGTTTAAAATAAGGACAGCTTGTTATGTCTACAGTCGACGTAAAACCGTGCGTACAGATATCGGTATAAAATCTTCCCTTGAACTTGACACAAAGCTGTGTGTAGTTCTAGCATTTAAAAATGTGATTTCACTTTGCATCGCAGATATACAACCTATTGTATGACGTACATAAGAATGCTTTGGTATTGCCAGCTTTAGTGTCCGAACGTAAACAAATAGTTAAATTACAGTTCATTATTTAGATTTTAAACTCTAGATAAAGAAATTTCATATTTTGACATTAATGACAGCTACTGTCACTTTTGACATTCAGCTACTGTTACTTTCAACATTCAGCTACTGTCACTTCCAACAATCACCACTGTCACTTCCAATGTTCAGCCCCTGTCACTTCCAACGTTCAGCCACTGTCACTTCCAACGTTCAGCCACTGTCACTTCCAACGTTCAGCCACTGTCACTTCCAACGTTCAGCCACTGTCACACTGTCACTTCCAACATTCAGCAGAAATTGATTAACTTGAAGTGGAACTCACAATTGAAGGTTGAATTTGGTTTCCCGAAGGTGAGAACAGGAAGCCCCTGAAGCTTATTGAGGTCCCCATTAAGCCAACTACTGACCTTCCCAAGGTCTTGACTCACAACAGTTGCCTAACTCCTGCGTTCCTATTTACTGCTAGGTGAACAGTGGTACCAGGTGAAAGAATATGTGCACAACCGTCTCTGTCCTGTCAGGAGATTGAACCTGGTATCCCCAACTGAGAGTCAAGAATGAAACCAACTGTACAGTGCTACAAGATCCTCTTAAAGATTCTGAGCAAACTTACTGATACTCTGCACGGCTGACTAAGATCACGTCCTATTTCTATGCAAACTCTGAAGAGTTGTAAGGATAGTAAGAACATTCCTCTTGACTTGTTTAAGGTGGTGTATGTGTAATGTGTACATCCATGGATCAGATGTCCTCTTTTTCTCCTTCACCAAATGTAACTATAAAGCTATCAATAAAATAATGTTTAGTGCACTTTCCTCCTTGTCTCTAACATTCATTATTCTCTTTATTTGTAACATAATTCTCTTGAATGTAATAAAATTACTGTATATGTAATTAATATATATGTACTAATCAACACCGTTATCTTTTTATGTCAACATTCATGCTACAGTCAAAGTTTGATACAGTTTAACTGATGTGATGTGTATTGTAAAATGTGGGTGAGGTGGTGGTGTATGGAAGTGCAGAGCAGCTTGTGGCAGAGTGTATGAGTCTGTGGGGGTGCATAAGAGATTGTGAGAGTGTAGGCTACTGTAGGGGTAGAGTAAATACAATTCTCCTGGGCCTTATTCAATAACCATTTGACACAGATTTTCTAACTTCACTCTTTATTACTGTGTCTAGGTTTCCACCTCTAAATGGCAATCATGCACATGAATTAAATGGAATTCTACTAAGCTTTTGCCCTCCTTTTAACCCTACACACACACACACACATATTATATCATCAATATTTATGACATATTCCATCATCAAGGGACCAACAAGAATGAGAAGAGAGGATGAACCAGCTATGCTTGATCTGATATTTACCCTAAGGGAAATAAGATATAAGGGAAGTTAAGTTGGAAGTTCCCTTGGGAATGAGCGATCACAGTGTATTGATCTTTGAGTACCTGGTAGAGCTGGGAATTATCTCCCCCAAAAAAAGAACTGGGAAACAAAGGGCTAGCGTACCGAAAGGGAAATTATGAGGAGATGAGAAAATTCCTAAGGGATATACCATGGGACACAGAACTCAGAACTAAGTCTGTACAAGACATGATGGACTATGCCACCCAAAAGTGTCAGGAGGCAGTAAACACGTTTATCCCAGCCCGACAGGAAAAAAACGAGAAGCAAAAGAAGAATCCGTGGTTTAATAGGGCATGTATGAAAGCAAAGGAACTGAACAAAAGGGCGCGGAGGAACTTCCGAAATAACAGAACACCAGAAAGCAGAGTGTGTTACCAGAGAACCAGGAACAAGTATGTTAGTGTGAGAAGAGAAGCTAAGAAAAAGTATGAAAATGATATAGCTAATAAAGCCAAGACCGAACCAAAGCTACTCCACAGTCACATCAGGAGGAAAACAACAGTGAAGGAACAGGTGATGAAACTTAGAACGGGTGAGGACAGGTACACAGAGAATGACAAAGAGGTGCTTGAAGAACTCAACAAGAGGTTCCAGAAGGTCTTCACAAAAGAACAAGGAGAGGTCACTGCGCTAGGTGAGGTGGCAGTAAACCAGGCGGCCTTGGAAGGGTTCAAAATTACAAGAGATGAGGTCAAGAGGCATCTGTTGGATCTGGACACGAGAAAGGCTGTTGGCCCGGATGGACTCTCACCATGGGTGTTGAAAGAGTGTGCAGGAGCACTTTGATTGCCACTCTCCATAGTGTATAGTAGGTCACTGGAGACGGGAGACCTACCAGAAATATGGAAGAAGCTAATGTAATAAAAAAACCAAGCCCAAGATTACCATCAAAGTGCCGTCGGGGAGGTGGTTCAAATAGCCTCGGCTATCTCCGGCACTGAACTACAGGCCATTGTACTTAACTTGTATACCATGTAAGGTGATGGAGAAGAGCGTGAGAAAAAACCTAGTAACACATCTGGAGAGAAGGGACTTCGTGACAACCCATCAACATAGGTTCAGGGAGGGTAAATCTTGCCTTACAGGCTTAATAGAATTCTACAATCAGGAGAAAAGATTAAGTAAGAAAGAAGGATGGGCAGATGGACTGCATTATTTAGGACTGGCGGATGGACTGCATTATTTAGGACTGTCGGAAGGCCTTTGACACAGTACCCCATAAAAGGCTAATGCATAAGCTGGAGAAACAGGCAGGAGTAACTGTTAGGGCACTCCAGTGGATAAGGGAGTACCTAAACAATAGGAAGCAGAGAGTTACAGTGAGGGGCGAGACCTCAAGATTGGCATGAAGTCACCAGTGGAGTTTCACAGGGCTCTGTACTCGGACCTATCCTGTTTCTGATATACATAAATGATCTCCCAGAGGGTATAGACTCATTCCTCTCAATGTTTGCTGACGACGCCAAAA